CACACACACACACACACACACACACACACACACACACACACACACACACACGCTGGACTTTAGTAGTCAGAATGGTGAAGTCAGACCCTCCTGCTGTTCCTGGAGAGGAGGCTGATGTGGAAGGGCAGAAACCCAGGGAAACACCCAAACCCCTGCCACAAGTAGTCAGGGGCCTTGGGAAGCCTGTACCTCTCACCCAGTCACCCCAACCTCTGGCTCTTACAGATGCGGCCTAAAGTCATGTGGCACCTCCTTCGCCGATACATGGCATCTCGGCTCCATTCCCTGCGGATGGGTGGCTACCTCTTCTCCGGCTCTCAGGCCCCCCAGTTGTCCCCTGCCCTGTTGAAAGCCCTGGGCCAGAAGTGCCCCAACCTGAAGCGCCTCTGCCTGCACGTGGCTGACCTGAGCATGGTACCCATCACCAGCCTGCCCTGCACCCTGAGGACCCTGGAGCTGCACAGCTGTGAGATCTCCATGGCCTGGCTCCTTAAGGAGCAGGACCCCACCGTGCTGCCCCTGCTCGAATGCATTGTGCTGGACCGTGTCCCTGCCTTCCGTGACGAGCACCTGCAGGGCCTGACACGTTTCCGGGCCCTGCGCTCGCTGGTGCTAGGTGGCACCTACCGTGTGACCCAGACGGGGCTGGATACCAGCCTGCAGGAGCTCAGCTACCTGCAGAGGTTCGAAATGCTAGGTTGCACCCTCTCAGCGGACAGCACCCTGCTGGCCATCAGCCGCCACCTCCGAGGTGTGCGCAAGATCCGGCTGACCGTTGGGGGCCTCTCTGCTCCTGGCCTGGCTGTCCTGGAAGGAATGCCAGCCCTGGAGAGTCTGTGCTTACAGGGCCCCCTCATCACCCCAGAAATGCCCACTCCAGCTGAAATTGTTTCCTCCTGCCTCACCATGCCCAAACTCAGAGTGCTTGAGCTGCAGGGGCTGGGCTGGGAGGGTCAGGAGGCTGAGAGGATCCTGTGTAAGGGGCTGCCCCACTGTATGGTCATTGTTAGGGCCTGCCCCAAAGAGTCCATGGACTGGTGGATGTAACTGTGCCACCGTCCCAGCTTTCACAGTTGATGAAAGCCCTTGATGAAAGACCCTCTGAGCAGCAAATTGAAGAGGGTAGCTTATGGGGCTTAAGGGAACTGAAGGTGACAGGAGGAGACAGTGAAGGCCTTGGGCCTCCAGACAGTGGGAATCGTTGGCCAGCTGTGTGGCCTCAGCCTCAGCAGCCTGCCTCTGGGGGCCCAGTTCTCAAGTCTACAAATAGAGATCCGAGCTACCTCAGGATTATGTTGCATAGCCTTACTCTGACAGCCCCCGCCCTCAGAAGCCCTTGATGAAGGTCATTCTCCAGGTCATCCTCAGAGTTGTCCTCTAACCAGATGGGTGGAATTAAGAGCTAGAAGGACCTGAGGGGCCAAGTTCCCCCAATGATGCCTGGAAAGACTATACATGTGTACCCACATGCCTGTGCACCATTTCTATATCTACACACACACAAGAGGCACAGAGATCAAGGGCAAATGAGGCTTGCCATTCATAATCAAAATGTTCATGAAGGTTCTCAGTTGTATTTTCTGTATTTTCTACCTTTTCCAAGTTTTCCACAGCAGATATTATTTTGCTATTAAAGAAAAATAATGAATTTTTTTTCAAGAAAGCATTCAGTTTATTCATTCCTTAAGCACTTCCTGTTTTGGCAGGCAACATTCTTGGTACTGGGGCTGCAGCAGTGAGCAAAACAAAAGTTCTTATACAGCTCCAAGAGGAGAAGGCGGGGTGTGAACAGGTTCATGGAATAATTTTGGAGCCTCCGAGACAATTAACCAAGGTTATGTGATGGAGGCATGGGTGCTTGGTAGAGAGGGCAGGGTTGAGCCTCTTGGCAGAGATCTAAGTGGTAAACCAGCTGCAGGGAAAGCTGGGGAAAAAAGATCCTGAGGTGGGAAAAAACTTGGCATTTTCCAGTAATGGGAAGAAGGTCTGTGGGCAGAGTGAGCAGGGAGGAGAAAGCCAGGTTGGAGAGCAATGGGGGAAGGGCAGCAGGGCCTCACAGGTGGCTCAGGTGTTAGGGTTTCAGTAAGTAACAACTCTTTTCCTGTCTTTTGAGTCAGAACCACTTGAAGGACGCAGGTGGTAAGAGCCCGAGCATTTGCTTGCCCATGAGATGAGTGTTACTTCTGAACCCCTCTGAACCGGGTCTGAGGGTGTGTGGCTAAGCCCCGGACTGGGGGCTCATCACCTGCCTGGCAGGCAGGGCCAGGACTGAGAGAAGAGGGCTGGGCTGGGTCTGCTGATTCCTTATTCTAAGCTCACCCATCAGAGGAGCTGGACATGTTTCTTCCTGCTATTCCCACTTGGCTGGAATAGAAATTCCTTCTGTCTTGCCAGGATTGGGGTGTGGGTATGCGCCCATGAGGCCATGGTTAGGGTCTTATTGTCCAAAGCTATGACCAAACCTAGCAGCTCTAGTCCAGGACGTTTGGGAGACAGGATTGAGCCAAGTTAGAGCACAGAGATTGGCGTTTTCACAGCTGCGGGGGGTGGGGAGGGAAATAAAATTAGGCCTGTTTTGCTGAGGGAGGCTGTCAGGAGAACTGGGTTCTATTTGGGGGAATATGATGGAGGGTCCACATCAGCCACACATGTTACCATGGTTTGGATAAGATTTGAATTTGTCTCCCAAGAGTTCATGTGTTGGAAGCTTGGTCCCTAGGGAGGCAATGTGAGAGGTGGTGGGACCTTCAAAGGATGGAGTTAGGACTGGGGATGTGGCTCAGTGGTACAGCAATTTCCTGGTATGCATGGGGCCCTGAGTTTGATCTTCAGCACTACAAAAAAGAAAAAAGATGGAGCTTAGTGAGAAGGACTTAGTAGGGATTGTAGGACTCTAACCTCTCTAGCTTCTTTTTGATGACAAGACTTGTTCCTTCCTGACATGCTGATGCCATTAGACATCATTAGCCATGAGGTTTGTATCAGAGGCACATTAATGCAGGCATCATGTCCTTGAACCTCTAGAACTGAAAATAAGCCCTTTTTTCCATTATGAAGTTAGCTTGCCTCTGTCATTTTGTTATAGTAATGAAAAACAGATTGATACAGTTGGGCTCTGCAAGTTTATTTTGGTGTATGTTTTTGGAGGTTGTGGGATAAGATCAGGCAGATCCATTGTTTTGGGGGCTCTGGTTAGGGTGTTGGATGCCAATGACAGGGAGCATACAGTAGAGCAAATAGCTCACCACATGAGCCAGGAAGCAAAAGAGAAAAAGGCCCTGGACTTAATCCTATTCAAGACCATGCCCCTAATACTACTCTATGACCTAAAGATTCCACCAGCTAGGAACAGTACACCCTGGGGACCAAGCCTTTAACACACAGACCTTTGGAGAACACATATGATCCCCTACAGTTATATGTTGAAATTCTAGCCCCCAAGGGGGGGTGTTAGGAGGTGATTAAGTCATGAGGACAGGGACCTCATGAATGGGACTAGTGCCCTTTTCAAGAGGCCTCTATTAGGGTAGCTGGCACAAATGTCCACGAGAGAGACAGCTCTGAGTCAAGCAAAGGTTTATTGACAGAGAATATCTGCCAGGCTGCCCTTCTGCCAGGCGCAGCCGCCTGCTGGGAAATACTTCTTAACTATATAGTCAAGTACAAGGAAACAGTTAAAAAATAACCCATCGGGTCCTGTGATTGTTACTCGGCATCTTTGTTTTGATTTTGGCAATTAGGGACTCTTGGAGGCGGGCTTAACAAGAAGGTCATGCCTGGGTGGGCTTCTTAGGATGGTGGGTGCTGATTTTCAAAATGAAGTTACTTTGGCCTAAGGACTTAACAGTCTCAACTGGGCATGGTAGTGCATGCCTGTAATCCCAGCAACAATGGAGGCTCAGGCAAGAGGATCCCGAGTTCAAGGCCAGCTCCAGCAAATTAGTGGGGCCTTCAGCAATGTAGTGAGATCCTGACTCAGATTTTTAAAGTGGGGGCTGGGGATAAAGCTCAGTAATAAAGTGCACCTGGATTCAATCCCCAGAGGGGAAAAAAAAAAAAAAGCCCTGGGCTGGGGTTGTGACTCAGTGGTAGAGCGCTTACCTAGCATGTGTGAGGCATAAGGTTTGATTCTTAGCACTGCATATAAATAAATAAAGATCCATTGACAACTAAAAAAAAAAAAAAAAAAAAAAGCCCCAAAGAGACTCTTGCCCATTCCACCATGTGAGGATACAGAATGCACTATGAACCAGGAAGCCCTCCTAGACATTAAAACTGCTGGTGGTTGATCTTGGACTTCCCAGCTTCCACAACTGTTAGGAAAACATTTCTGTTATTCATTCCTCTTTATCCACAGGGGATGATTCTAGAATCCCTCACAGATACCAGAATCTTCAGAAGCTTATGTCCCTTATATAAGTATTGGCAAGAACCTACACACATCCTCCTGTGTAAGTAATCTCCAGGTTACTTATGATAACAATATAAATGTCACATAAATTACTGTTATTCTGTATTGTTTAGTGTATAAAGACAAGGAAAAAATGTCTATGTCTAGGCATGGTGTCCTACACCTGAAGCAGGAGGATTTAAAATTCAAGGCCAATCTGGGAAATTTATCAAGACCCTGTCTCATAATAAACAAACAAACAAACAAATAAATAAATAAATGGAAGGGACTGGGCATGTGGCTCACAGGTAGCATGCCCCTAGTTCAATCCCCAGTACCCACCCCTCACACACAGTCTGAACCTGTTCACTGTAGACAGACACAATTACACTTTCATGTGTTCTTTGTCCAACTTTGATTGAATCCACAGATGCAGCTCTCCATGGATACTGAATGCTGGCTGCATTTTGTCACAGGAGCAAGAACAAATCTTCCTTGGGGATTACATTGCAGGATATGGCTCCCAGGGGTTTTAAGGAAGACAGTCAGTTAAGCTTCTTTCTTCCCATGAGGACCTCAATCCTCAATATCCTCAGTGGAAACCAATGTGGACGTTGAGAACATCTACTCCTTAAACAAGGCCTCTCAGCCTCTAGGCCACCTTCCCCGGGGGGTTGGGGCAGGAGCATCAGGGCCCGGAGTGTATGAGTGGGGCCCCCAGCTCAGCAGCTACCTGCGCCCCCACCAACAGGGTGCGGAACCCCAAGGTGAAGGACGGCTGGAGTGGCAGGGAGAGCAGGACTGGCAGCCACCACACCCCAAAACTCCCTCAGGTCTGCCCCCAGGCTCTTGTGCCCAACCTTGCCTGCGTGGGGGCGGGAGGTGGGGAGGCCCCAGACCTGGTAGCCTCTGCTCAGAAGAAACTTCATAAAAAAAATCTTGACTGTCCTGGGACAAGTGGCCCTGGATGGACAGAAGACAAAGCCTGAAGAGACCAGGAAGAAAAGAGGAGCAAGCTGGGACTATGCATCCTCCTCGCTGCAGCACTGAAGAGACCCAGAGAGAGGGCCAGATGGCCTGTGGAATGAGGAACATCAGGGTGGCTTCTTCCCCTGTGGTGCCTGGAGCTTTCTACAGATGCTAAGTCCAAAGGAGGAGGGAGAGGAACCTACTTTCTCAGCTCCAGGGCTCTTCTCTAAAGCAGTCACCACCATGAGCTAGATTTTTTAAAGGCCATATAAATACTTGAATGTGGGGAGCCACTCTGAATGATTTGGTCTTCCAGCCTGGAGGGAAGAGGCTGTCACTGTCACTACATCTCCTTCTTTGTGTGTAGATAAATGCTTATGAGATCGTGACATTATGGATATGGTGTTTGACCATAAATACTTGGTTACTTGCCTCACATGTAACAACAAAGGAATTATAATTCCTACAAATTTACTACAAATCCCAGGAGATTAATTTGCAAGGGATTTGGATAGCCTCTTCCATAAAGAAAATGCCTAAATGGACAACAACAATAAGGAAAGGTGCTCATTCATTATCAGTAACCAAGTAAGGGCAAGTCCAAACCATAAAGTGACTGTACTACACACATAACTGAACAGCTACAAGTAAAACTGCATGAGTGACAACTTGATATAGTTGGCACATGCCTGTAAACCTAGCTAGTGGGGAGGTTGAGGTAGGAGGATTGCAGGTCTGAGACCCACTTGGACAACTTAGTAAGACCCTGTCTCAAATAAATAAATAAATAAAACACCTGGGGGATGTAACTCAGTAGTCGAGTGCTTGCCTCGCAGGTGGGGGAACTCTTGGATTCAAACACCAGTCCTGAAAAACAACCACAAAACAACTAAAATGAATGATCTTAGCAAGGGTTGGTTAAGATTTGCACACATTGCTGGTAGAAGCACATTTTTGAACAGTAGCAACTAAATAGGAAGTGTTCATAATGCAACAGTAATGCATGTACATGTGCACCAAAATACATATAAAGACTATCAGAGGAGCATCATTTGAAATAACTAAGTTGGAAACAACTGAAATATGGATCAACAGGACAGTGTGTGAATTGTGGCATATTTTTTCTATGGCACGCTATTTAGCCAAGAGAAAGAACAAACCACCAGTAGATAGATGCAACAACTTGGAAGAGCCTCACAAACATGTTAAATGGGAAAAGCCAGACAAAAAAAAATGCATAGTGTTTCTCTAAAAATTAAAAATGGACAAAATCAACTAGAGTGTAAGATGTCAGTGTAGT